GAGATTTGAACCCGGGTCTCATTGTCAGAAAACTAAAGTTCTAACTACTCATTCTAACTATATATATATATATAACAATATAGTTAAATTTCCGGATCAATTCTGTGGACAGAACAAATTGGTATAAGATGACAAACTGGGAATATATATATATATATATATATATATATATATATATATATATATACATATTTAGAAAGTGAGAGAGAGATAGATTGGTATATAAATATATATATATGCAGTATTTAAAGAAAAGTGCTCAATATCCGTGATATTATTCTAACCAGTATAAATATATATATATATATATATATATATATATGAAGAAATATAGTCTTAAGGTGTGCTATATTTATGGGATAAAGTGCTCAATATCAGAGATAGAACGTGTGTAAATATAAACGTGAATATTGAAGTCAACACTTTTGAGGCGACATGCTGTTTCATGCTAGACGCAATCATCAGGTCACGAGTGCTGTCATTTTTCTCGGCTATTTAAATATACGGGGTCAGTGGTGCATTGTGGGTCGTCTATTTTGGCGGTTATTTTGCTGGAAGTTGTTTATTTGTTTATTTATTTATTTGGGTTAAATTATTTTGCTTTTCATTATTTATTTCTATTTTTTATTTTTTATTTTCCATTTTTATTTCTTATCTTATATATTTATTTTATTTTAATCAGTGTTTTTATTAACATAGTAAAAATTTGTCTATATTTGTCTATATCGCTTATTTCATAGTTTTGTTTTGATTTGGGAAGATAAAGATATTTATTCAATTTTGGGGTTGATTGTTGTAGTTTATTCTAACTAATATTTTGGCGGGAGCAGTTTTGATTTGTTTATTAGTTCATGTATTTATTTGAATTGATTATTTTTATTTGTTTTTTTTCTAAAGGTTAATTTATCGGGATCGGTTTGTTAGTTTATTTATTTGGATGAATTTAGATTAATTTATTTTAATTGTTTTTTATTATTTGTTTATTATACTGTATATTTTTTATTTACTCTTCGGTTTTCGATTTTTAAGTAACGTAGTATTTTTTTTTTCGTTATATAACAGTTATAGCTATGTTTTTCGTCCGATTTTTGTTTGATTTTTATAGTCTCACTGATATTTTGTTTCTCATAATGGTTTGTTAATTTATTTATTATTTACTTTATTTTGTTTTTTATTTTTTATTTATTTATTCTATTTTGTCTATTCTAACGAGTCTGATTTGGTAATTTATTTGGGTTAATTTATTTTACTTATTTTATTGTCATTTTGTTTATTTATTTATTTTATTTATTTATTTTTTTTCAGTTTTCGATTTTTAAGTAACGTAGTAAAAATTTGTTTTCATGTCTGCATTTTGAGATGAGCTCGAATCTTTTATTTAATAATTTATTTTGGTCTGGGAAGTTAATGATAGCTATTTTTTCTCAAAGCAAAGTTTACAAGTTTTTGATTGGTTGTTGTAGGCTGATGATCTTTTCCTTATTTTCCAAGATACTTTTGGTGGTATGTGCGTTTTGTTTTTAATTTCCGAGATATACTTAGAAAGCATTGTGCTGTTTGAATATTTACTATTTGTGAAAGATGTTTTGTGTGCATAATTTCTTTGTTTCCAGTGTTCTTCAGTTACTCTTATGTATACTTTTTCTTCATTATCTGGTGACTTTATCGTGGCTTGGTATATTACGTTGTTTTGTAAACAATTACCGTTTAAGGGACATTCATTCTTTATTCTGCAGTTACACGTTGGTTTAATTTGTTCGTGTGGTTCGTTGATAATTTTTCTGTTGTGCTTTTTTATTATTTGTGCCATGTTCTCGGTGCAACTGTAGCCGATTTTTACTGTGTTTTTTGTTGAACATTTTGTGTAGGGTGCTTGATTCCGGGAAGTGTTTGTTAAGAGTTTAAAGAATATTTTTCCTACGTTTGTTTTTATGTTTCTTCATTCTTTTCTACAAACACTTTTTTTTTTTCCAGTTGTAATCTGATACCATTTCGTCTGGTCCACAGAACTGAACTGGGAATTTAACTATATTGTCGACATAAAAAAAAACAAACTCTTAGTATAAAGTAAATTTACATTAACCAGAAAGGGGCAGAAGCGTTTCTCTTTTTAAATTTGGATTTTGTAATGTAACTATAACAACAAAATCATTTCGATTTCATTTTTCTATTGAAAAAGTCGGAAGACGAAAAGCGTCGGCAAAGATTGAACCTTTTTTTTTCCAATTTCATCTTATATATATATATATATATATATATATATATATATATATATATATAAAGGTGTATCAATATATATATATATATATATATATATATATATATATATATATATATATATATATTCCAGTGTTCTTATTGATATTTTTTCTTTTACAAAAAACAGTGCTCAATGTAAATTTACAGAGCATAAATATTATAAATTAACTGATTTAAAAATATGGTTTCTTCGCTACACAGGAATTGCCATGATTCAAAAACCAAAGCTAAAAACTTCAAATTTAATTACATAATTAAATTAAAAGCATTAGTTCTGTTTCATCTTCAAGCGAATTTTAAATTTACTAAGTTTTAAACGCACATACAATTCATAATTTTTTGTTTCCAAGGATACAGAGAAATCCAATCATTTAGACAGGGGCGGTAGCGTGTTCATTTTTATTAACTATTATTGTATCAATTATGAGTTACGTTCAAAAAAAGTGTTAAGTCTAGGTAGGATAGGGGTGAATTTTTCAACGAATTATGACACCAGTTCAACGCATGTCGTCTTTTTTATCACCCTATATATCTTTATATATATATATATATATATATATATATATATATATATATATATATATATATATATATAGGTTCAGTCAACAAAAACAACGCGGAATATGAGTCAAAAAAAAAATATAAGAAGAGAAGCTGTGTAAAATTAAGTCGGGTGAGCAGGGAACGAACTTCCGAAATAAAACCGAATAAAGACTGTTGGGTGACTTGCTTAGTCATGCTTCCCTTGACGTTTATAAAATGCCACCTACAACCTGCTCTTTAACCAAAAACGTCCATACCTCTGTTTCTTTGACCTGCTCAGCGACTGGTGATAGCGTAGACTGAATGACCAATCAATCCACAGACACCTAATATTTGAGACATCGATTTCAGAAGTGCTTAATCAGTGGACACACACGGAACACACACACACACACACACTTTTTACATATATATATATATATATATATATATATATATATATATATATATATATATTATTTTATTATTCCATTCCGACACAGAAATTTCTATCTTTCAAAACTGAAACTGAAGTTGTAAATTTAATTATATACAAACTAAACTTAAGATCAAGAGTTTCGTTCCATTGTCAAGCGATGTTAGGAATAAATTTACTTAATATATAATAGCAGAGAATCTTAATATTTTGAGTTGTTATGTTTAAGGAAAATTCAATCTATTTTGATTAGAGGTGGTTGGGTTTTAATTTCCATGGACAACTTATATATCAAAATAATAAAATAAATCATACTTATTATAAAACCCAGGTTGTGTGTGTGTGTCTGTTCGTTTATATATTGGATCGGATTTCCTACATTTTTCAACCGATTTCAACAAAACATCACAGGACTACGTAAAATTACCTTGCGGTGGTTCTGACAGCGCCAAAAATTGGAAAAACACAACTGTTTTTGCACGAAATCAATTTGAAAACACGATTAAGAGACATCGTTTACGCGGAATGAAAGGGGGACAACTCATATCGAGTTATACTTATTATAAAACCCAGGTTGTTTGTGTGTGTGTGTGTGTGTGTGTGTGTTGTGTTTATATATGGGATCGGATTTCCTACATTTTTCAACCGATTTCAACAAAACTTACTTTTTTTTTTGGCAGGTAGTGTTTTTATTGTCAAATATTTTTTTTTTTCTTTTTATTTTTACATTCAGAATGCTTTAAAAATTCCATTTACAAGACAATTGTTTATAATAAAATTCTATTCAATCGGTAGACTCATAATGATTGAAAACAATGTTTTTGTTTGAGTTTGTCGACATAGAAAAAAAACAACCTTTTAGTATAAAGAAAAAAAAATAAAAAAATAACTAATTAAGACATGTGTGTCAGTCAACCTTAAACAATAATCTTTGTCAATTTTATTTTTCAGTCTTTATGATGGTTGATACTTGATCTATCTCTTACTGTTACATCCCCGGGCAACGCCGGGCTCTACTGCTCGTAATTAAATAAATGATAAAAAATTATAATTTATGCTGAACTGTTTGTATCGAGCACTGTTTTTATAAAAATAAAAATAATTGTTAAGAATTTTTGGATTATAGATCTTACTGATATTTTTTATTAATTTATATTATATATATATATATATATATATATATATATATATATATATATATATATATATATAATTATGAAATGGACAAAGTCCGACAGTTAAATAATAAAAGGATTTATAAAATAAAAATATCAAATATATGAATATATATATATATATATATATATATATATATATATATATATATATATATAGAGAGAGAGAGAGAGAGAGAGAGAAAAAGAAAGAAAAGAAAAAAATCCGTTCGGAATATGAGAAAAAAAAAATTCCAAGAAGAGAATCTGTGTAAAGATTAAGTCAGGTGGGCAGAGAACGAACTTCCGAAATAAAACGAAATAAAGACTGATAGGTACTTGCTTAGTCATGCTTCCCTTGACGTTAAAAATGCCACCTACAACCTGCTCTTTAACCAAAACGTCCATTCATCTGTTTTTTTGACCAGCTCAGCGACCGGTGATAGCGTAGACTGAATGACCAATCATCAATCCACAGACACCCAATATTTGAGACATCGATTTCCGAAGTTTTCAATCAGCGGACATTTAAAAAGAGGTTTTAAATGTTGGTCGTCGCCTGAAAAGCAAATGTTAGTCTTGTCTCTTCGCCGCTTTTGTTTCACTAACACGGTTGGTGAGTCATCGGAATGTTCGTCAACGTAATTGTCTCTCTCTCGGGACAGGCGTGTGGTGTTCGGTTGTCAGAGTGTCGGTTTCTTGCCAGAAAGTCTCTGGTCTTTATCATTTACAGGATGTAATAACTGATTTGTATTGTTGCTTTCCAAACCTCCGACCGTTTTGTGCATTCAGCACAAAACTAGGTTTTCATGCGTTATTATACACAATGTCTAACACTTAATGACTGTGATTTAGTGGTTGGCTTATCGACTCTCAACATCTATCTATCTGTCTATCTATCTAATTATCGAAAGCTGCTAATATCTATCTATCTATCTATCTATCTATCTATCTATCTATCTATAAAAAGCTGCTAATATCTATCTATCTATCTATCTATCTATCTATATATCTATCTATCTATCTATCACAATCTTTTCATATTTATCAGTTTTTACGATATATATAACCCAAAAATATTAATATCTATCTATCTATCTATCTATCTTAGTTTGTTCATATCATCTATCTATGTATCTAAGTCATTTTTATATCTATCTATCTTTCTATATCATTCTATCTATCTATCTAAATATCTATAAAAACATATATATTTCATATTTAAATAGATATCGTTTCATATATATCATATATATCTATCTGACTATCTATCTATTTATTATCTAATTATCGAAATATAATATCTATATATCTATCTATCTATCAAATTTTTGTTTAATATCTATCCATGAAAAGCTGCAAACACCTATCTATCTATACCTATGATACAAATTTATCTATCTATCTATCTATCTAAATATCTAAAAGCTACGAATATTATCTATTGAGTAACAGCAGTTTAAGTGTAAAACATTTAGCGACACCAAGATGAATACAAATGTGAGAAATTCTAAATATAGTTCTCAACATAGTCTTATTTTTATTTTAAATTTTTTGTACGAGAGTCGGTCAAATATTAATGCCTGCTTTTCTTTAATTACAACAGATTCGAGTTCCCCAAACCTCTAATCTTAAAGATCATTTAGCCTTGCTGCATAGATATTTTTTATCATCATGAAGGACGATTTATCTTTGAAACGCAATGCATGACAAATTGAAAAGCAAAAAGACTAAGATCCGAAAAAATTAGTTTAGCCTAATCTCCTCTGTTTATACTCCCTTTCATACAGTTCTTATTCCTCCATGTCGCCTTCGTCAACAAATACGACCCGGCGCTAAATCCTTCCTACTTATTTTATTTTTTTTGCCTTTTATCCAGGGTCATGTTTTATATTATACATAAACCTCAAAAATGATTTGCTATTGGTCATCATTCCGTTATTAGGCTAGTCATTGAAGATGCACCCAAAAATTGTATTATTATCTTCCGGTCTTATTATTTAGTAGTAGTCCAATCAGACAAACAAAAGAAAAACATAAAATTGCTGACATAGCCTAGAACATTTGAAAAATTTTATTTTCTACTTATAAATCTTCCAATATATATATATATATATATATATATATATATATATATATATATATATATATATGAATTCATTTTTAAAATTTAAAAAATAAATAACATAAATCACTAGAAAAATAGCCATTTTGTTTCAACACTCTCGGTGTCTTATCAAGTGATGATGTTGAATGTAAAATAAATGGTTTTAAAAGTTTCAAATTAATTAACAATCCTTATTAAAAGGAAAACGTTGTTACAAAAGCTAGATTGACCAATCAAAATACAAGTATAGGAAAATTCAAAAGCTTGACAACGAAGTCATGTTATAATAGCCATTCAGATATTTAAAATATGGGGTAATAAAAAAAAGAATTTATTCTAACCAATAATTACTAAATTATATGATAAAATTTAATATTGAAATTAAAAACTGCTAATTTCAAGATCAAAAATTTAATCGCTATTAAGTTTTTACAATTATAAAGAAAAAATATATATTTTATTCAATTTATTTCTTCATTGAAGTTACTTTTGCTAATTTTATATCTGGTGCTTTGACAATGTATCCATTTTAATCCTTAGAATGTGTATGGCTATTTTTGTAGTGATTTTATAACATATTTATGTTATAAATTTTTTTTTAAATAAATAATTATATCGTTTCTACTTTGTATTGAGCACTCTTTTAAGAATAGTATTGAAGTTATTGGAATTCATTCAATATATACCAATCATATACTTGTATATATATATATATATATATATATATATTATGAAATGGACAAAGTCCGACAATTATTTTAAGGCATTTTTGTGTTTATACATTCTTTTAATAGATACAAATATTTAAGTAAATGCTCTGTTTATAATAAACAGTATTAACGACATTTACCGGCCTGAATGTCGGAGAAATTTTCATAGAAGATATGCATCCTCCGACAGGAATCGAACCTGTATCCCGTACGGAACCGTCATTTAACTTGACGTGCCACAGAAAAGCGTTCAGTTAGCAAGGTCGATTTTACTGCTTTTAAACTATAATCTTCTATGAATAGTTAAACTGAGGTAAAAAAACATTATTAAAGTTTAAAAATAGGTTTTAATACCAGAAATACTTTATAAAAAATTATTACTAGAAACAAATTTTTGAAGAAAAAAATATTACCAGCTATACGTTTTTGAAAAAATAATATTACCAGCTATACGTTTTTGGGGAAAAAAATATTAACAGAAATAAATTTTTGACAAAAAAAAAATATTACCAGGAAAAAAAAAGTTGTCTGCATTAAATGACCCATTGAGGTTGATATGCCGTAAAATAAACCAAACCAAACTATATTCTTTGAAAACTCTCTCTTCGCTGACATTATGCCAAGGAGGTCCTTTGAACCCATCTATAGAACGATATCTCTGTCGCTTCAAGTTTCTACTTCATCTATGTCCAGCATTCACTGCCGAATAGGACATTAGATATTATATGGCAGTTCAGCGATCTTTTCTGATGTCTTTATGTTAGGGGACCTTACCCATAATAACATAATGGACTATTCCACACGTAATAAATACTGTGCCTCAAGATGAAGCAGGGAGTTCCGTCTGAAGTCGGACGACCAGCTGATCGGTTGAACTCTCTGCCTTCGGGCGGGGAGGAAGCCGAACGAGGCTACGCCGAAGGGCGGATTCTCTTTCGGGGAGGTAAACCGACCCTGAACCCGTTTATACGGGTTCAATGGGCATATTTTTGGCCGATCCCACGGGCTCGGAGATCCCACAGGCTCGGAGATCCCACGGGCTCGGAGATCCCACGTTAAACCGGCCTTGTGCCACATGATGCCGTCGTGGGGGGGTGACTAAATACCGTTCAGTCTGAAGTCGGACGACCGGCTGACCGGCTGATCGGTTGAACACTCTGCCTTCGGGCGGGGAGGAACCCGAACGAGGTTACCCGAAGGGCGGATTCTCTTTCGGGGAGGTAAACCGATCCTTAACCCGTTTATACGGGTTCAATGGGCATATTTTTGGCCGATCCCACGGGCTCGGAGATCCCACGTTAAACCGGCCTTGTGCTACATCATGCCTTCGTTGGGGGGTGACTAAATACTGTTCAGTCTGAAGTCTGGAATGAAGTCCGTCAGGAGTCTGTCAGTCAGTCAGAGCGAGCGAGTCAGTCAGTCGAGTCAGAGGCAGTCCGAAACAGAGTCGCGTTCAGACAATTACTACTAAACCTGATTGTTCATACTAACACTTCTACTTCTCTGTATATATTCCTGTTTGTAATATATCTGTGTTATTCCATATCCGTGTCCGAGTTCTTCTTTATTGGTTCTACCTTGGACTATCACTGTGGTACAAGGAACCGGACCATAACAGTGGCGACGAGGAAACAAACCATCTACGTGGAGGACATATCTTTTTTTTTGCTATCCGTCGCGCATAATACTTTATACTTTACTTGGTTTCTGAAAGGCATTTCCCCTATGCCTATGCGTCTTCTGATTTCTGTGTCGCATTTTTACTGGGCCAAGTTAAATTTAGTTGAAAAGCCATAAATATTAACGTCACTCTCTGCATATCTCTCAGGCTGTCTAATAAAGATATGTATAGCAGTTATATATATATATATATATATATATATATATATATATATATATATATATATATATTTGAACGGATTGAATAATCTGTTACAAGTGACTTTTTGGAGATTTACGAGTCACGATTTGGACACAAATTTTTATTGATCAAACCTGAAAATCGATATAGGTTCAGGTTAAGTTGAGATTAACTTAACTGCGGTGTGTCAATCGAGTTAAGAATTTCACGCTTAATATCCTAATTTAGCGCCTAACATTGTCAGGGATATCTATCTATCTATCTATCTATCTATCTATCTATCTATCTATCTATCTATGTCAGGCTCTTCATATCTGTCTCAGTGTCTTCTTTCTATCTATCTATCTATCTATCTATCTATCTATCTATCTATCTATCTCAGCCTATTCATATCTATTTATGTATGTTAGCCTGTTCATTATCTATCTATCTATCTATCTCAGCCTATTCATATCTATTTATGTATGTTAGCCTCTTCATATCTATCTATCTATCTATCTATGTATCTATCTACCTATCAGCCTATTCATATCTATGTTCATTTCTATCTATCTAGCTACTTAGCTATCATTCTGTTTCTATCTATCTATCTATCTATCTATCTGACAATCACAATCATTTTTGTCTATCTATTTCTGTTCTATCAATCTCTCCATATATCTATCACAATTTTTTCAATCTACTTATTTTTTCAAATGAACAATGAATTTTAAAAGAATTGTTTTTATTCTTTAAGAATTTTAATTAGAATGATTTATAAACTTTTAAAATTCTATATTAATTTATAGCGGTCAAGTGATTTTTTAGTAATATAAAATATATTTACTAATCATAAATGGAAAATCTTACTACAATTCAACGACACCCAGTATTTTAAAAAAGTCGAATTTTTTTTTGTGGGTGTATAAAAGTTCCGATATTTGTAAATACGGATATCAACACTCGGCATTATCAGAAGATAAGTGCGTTAACATTTGTAAATTTACAACTTATTGGTAATTTTCTAACATTTTCTCAAGAAGCGCCTTCGCAAGTTAGGCTGTAAATTTTAAATTCAATTACATATTAGAATGATTAAAATAGTTTAAATTTTTGAGAATACTGAGCAGTTAAAATGTTATCTAAAATATGACGTTTAAGTTGTATTCGTCATTTGATTTTATTACAGTTAATTCCCCTTAAATAAATCTCGCAAACATCAGGTTCTCGATAGATATGTCAACACTGCTTAAAACATCCATTTCCGTGTAAAAAATGCTTTTATGCGACAATTTTAAATTTAAAGTAATATTTGTTTTGATTCAGTTTAATTAAACATTGAATCAGTTAATCTTCCTCAGAAAAAAGTTTTAAGAAAATATATTTAATTTTTGAAAGATTTTTAAATAAGGAACATTAAGTGGTATTGAAAGATTTGTCAATATGAACGGTTTTAGCGATTTCGGATAAAAAATGATTAAAATAATCGTAAATTGGGTTTGAAATACAGCAAAGTATTTTTCTCATTGTAATTATTGAATTTAATCATCATGTAATTAATGTAATTAATAACAACACACACACACACACACACACACACACACACACACACACACACACACACACACACACACACACAGTGTATCAAAAATACAAACTTTTTACCTTGGTTTTGTTATATATATATATTTGGCCACCTCGGGGCGGTGTCATGGTTAACAAGCTTATTACGTTAGAACAATTACGACTGAGTGGTGAGTTCGATCCTCACTGGGTGTCCCATACTTTCGACCTTATGCCACATCGAAGCTACGCTTAGAAAATCTATGTATATCAAAAATGAATTTTTTTTTTTACCTTGTTTGGTGGTAGGAACCGCCCCAAAATTTGCAAATGTATTTTTGATAAGCCCTATATATATATATATATATATATATATATATATATATATATATATATATATATACCTTACTATACTATACTAATAATTATACTCGGTTGGTGAAAAATCTCGAATAGCACAATTTGCAAGTATATCAAAACAAATTGGTATCCGAAGAATAACTGGAAAAAAAGAAAGAACTAGAAACATTCGAACGAGGCGAAAAAAATTGTCCAGTGATTTAAATTTCAAGACCAAAGAAAAAAAAATCATAAGCGAATAACTAAGATAAACCTCTCCCTCTCTCTCTCTCTCTCTGTGTTCATATCTATCTATCAAATCTATCTATCTATCTATCTATCTATCTAAGCATTTCCATATCTATCACTTTGCATCTATCTATCTTAGCCTTTTCATATCTATCTATCTATCTATCTATCTATCTATCTATCTATCTATCTATCTATCACTTCACATCTATCCAAGCCTTTTTTTTATATCTATCTATCTATCTATCTATCTATCTATCTATCTATCTATCTATCTATTTATCTCAGTGTGTTCATATCTATCTATCTATCTATCTATCTATCTATCTATCTATCTATCTATCTATCTATCTATCTCAGTGTGATCATATCTATCTATCTATCTTAGCCAAGGGCAAAATCACAAGCTTTTCTTTTGCTCTTTGAACGTTTGTAGAAGAGAACAGTATGTTTGTGGCAATAATTCTTTATGACGCATGGGACTGCCCCCACCCTCTTTACGGATGTTCTTTTCAGTCTTGATTTCTTTTCATTTTCTAGGAAATTCATTAATATTGCAACCACACTTTATTGCAATTTTACATATCTTTTTAATTCGCTTTTTTTTATAGCGCTGTACAATTTTCTAGAAAGAGGCAGTTGTTACCAGAGAGAGAAAGAGATAGAAAGGAAGAGGGATAAAAAAAGACAGTGAAGAAGAGAATGAAAGAGAAAGAGAAAGGGAGAGAAAGAAAGAGAGACAGAAGAAAGAGAGTGTCGGAGTGAGAAAGTGACCGAAAGAGAGAAAGAGAAACGTTGAGGGAGAAAGATAAAGGGGAGAGGCTGAAAGAGAATGAAAGAGAATGAAAGAGAGAGAGATGGGAGAGGGTGAAAGAGAATGAAAGAGAGAGAGGGAGAGGGAGAGAGAGAGAGATGATGTGTGAGAGAGTTGAAGTGGATGAGATTTCGATTTTTATTCTTAGGTTGACCTCTTGTCTATCAGGTCAACTCTCTCGGACTAACTGGCCAATCAGGAGAAAAAGTTTTCTTGATTTATTGTTGACCAATCAGAATTGTTTCCCGCATTTAAAGCTAACTTTATTGCATAAAAAAAATTATAAGACTTTTTTTTTTTTTTGTTTTAACAGTTTTTTTTTTCTTTTTTATTATTTTTGCTTGATCATCGTCAATTTTCTAAAAGATAAAAATAAAAAAAGAAAAGAAATAAAAAGAAAATAGAGAACTGTGATGGAGAAAATTAGGATAATTTCTCTTCATTTTGTAGTCATCTGTCGTCTGATTATATTTACTAGAGACTGATTATTGAGAGTTAAACGCACAGCTTATGAAGACGGTGTAAAAACCAAGAATGCCGAAATGCTTTTATCGGCGTCAGCTGGACTTCACGCCGAGCAGAAGGTACAGTACCGAGGGTACCTTCGGAGCCTGACAAGTCCCTATTGATATTTTACCAACGCTGATCTGGACGCGTTTTAACGTCATATATGAACTGAAACAATCTTCTTGCACATAACTGGGACTTTTGTGGAACAGACTCCCGTGATGATGCTTCCTTGTTCACTAAAATCTTAACCTTTTCCAGTCTAGAGTCAATCGTTTCCAATCCTATATATCCACATAATCTGCACTTATTTTCTCTTTTTAGGGTCATACAACAATTTCGATTAAGAAGTCTCTACTGTTTATTGAGACGTGTATTGAGTTGGATTTTAGCAAAAAATAAAATAAAATAAAAATAATTAACTATAGTGCTTCTCCTATATATTTAGAGTTTCTTGATAAAATACAAAGAAGATTCTGCAATGTTATTGGTTCTGACCTGGCATCTCGGTTTCACTCACTTTCCCTATTTTTATAAGTCTGCCATTTGTCCATGCATTGAATATTGCTGCCACATCTGGTCTGGTGCTTCTGCAATATATCTAGACATTCTTGATAAAGTCCAACAAAGAATCTGCAATGTTATTGGTCCTGACATGGCATCTCGGCTTCAGTCACTTTCCCACCGCCGTAATGTAGCACCAACCCTTTGCTGAACGCCAAAAAATTTGTTTAGATTGTAAGATGTTTTTAAATAATGGTTTAGATAAAAGTCTTACTAATTTTTTTTTTCTTTTAGATAATAATGGTTTAGATCACCACTTCTTAAACTTAAATGCTGGGGTGACGAAAATTTAATTCAAACCCTTGAATTTCAGTTTCTATGTTATTTTACAAACGCACAATATTTAACCTGATGCGTTACGCATGCGCTGTGGTAATAAAACATGCATGCGGCGCCATTGTGACTAGTGCAGTGATAACGGATGTATTTTCATTGTAGTTGGTTGATGGCGTTCATCTTAATAAGTGTATAAATAAAAATGCATGTTACAGTTTTATTCGCTTGAGATCAATATTTATTTAAATTACTTAAATAATTTCATAATTATTTTAGGAAGCCTTATTTTATTTATATTTCAGAATAAAAATATTTTTTACTCATGGACAAAATGGCTGAACTTGAGTAACAAAACTAATGGCGTTAAACTTTAAAGATACAAGACTTACTAATTAATAGAGGGAAGAGCGGATTCATGCCTTTCTCAAGGGTTTTGGTTTTGGAACACGGCTCTCCGATTTGCAATTCCGAGCCGTTATCTATTACACCGTAGTCTTACGACAACACGTGACTCTTTACCATAATCCCCTTGTTCAAACTTTGCTGTCCGTACACCTGAACCAGTGATTCACGACTGGGGTGCATATGGACCCTCGGGCCCATACACACACACAAAAACAAAGAAGCAAATTGGTGGTCCACGGTAAATATTTTACTGGTCCGTAGAGCAATTTCATTTCGAAAATGTTGCAAACAATTGGAATTTCTACAAAGTAATCTACACCATATTAAAATACTAAAAATGCAAAAACAACCCTAAAACTAGTAGAAAATGAGATCAAGTGATGTAAGCTTTAGCGTCCCTTTTACTCTACCGGATGTTTTCATTGTAAAAGTTGAATAAAAACTGAGAAGGATATATAAAGGAAGGATTATATATAAAGAAAAATTATATAAAGATTATAATTTGTTATGTAAATTAATTTAATATATTAATAACTAGCTTAAAAGCCGCCCTATCGGGTGGCATTTAAGCTAGCACCTGTGAAGGGCTTTTGACTGAGCTTTCATCACAATAGATAGGTTGTTGCCTATCGCATCACAATAGTAGATGCGGTAAGCAACTATAAACAAGAGAAGAACTCAAAATTGCTCGCTTCATGTAAGTATTGCATTAGTATTTAAGCTTACCTTTTAAAAGGTCAACGATAATTCTTCTGCGGCCGTTTAATTTAAAGACAGTTTGATGTACGTAGGTCCTTATTTTCTGTACAAACAATAATTTTTATTTCATGAGTCACTTTCGCTGGATTTTCCAATTAATTTCAATTATTCCCAAATTATAAAAGTGAGAAAAATTGTTATCGTACAAAAAAATTCGTCGCAAAAATCATGTAAAAAATATCGAAAACAATGGCAATAATGAAAACTTGGATTTGGATCAGGTCCAAAATGTTTTAAATTTGCTCACGGAGTCGGTCTGATTCAAAAATGTTGGTCTACAGCCTCTCGGAGTAAAGTTGAAAAAGTGTGACACACTGACATACTGACAATTGCATTTATTATGTAGATAAATAATAATATTAATTTTAAATATTAATCAAATAAAATATTAATATATTAACATAGATTCATTAATATAAAATATTTAAAAAAAATTAAAATATTAATAATATAATTAATTTAATATATACTTTAAATTATATAAGAATGATATATAAAGGAAGGATTAACAGTATTAAGCATAATATATGGAAAACAAATGACATTACTAAAAGATATCCACCTCTCTGGAAAAAAGCATAGTTCGGAGTTATTGTTGTCCCTTTATCTTACCTTGTTGAATTGAGTTTTAGTCGTGTGTCTTACTATCAAATGCTCTTAATAGACTCGACATTGTGAAAAGGGGTGATCTTCAATTATCATTGGAATCAATGGAGCAGAATATATATAAAAAAAAAAAAAAACACAGAGCTACATCAACCACAGGGATCTCATTGAATAAATTTGCATTTTTTAAAATTTATTAATTACTCACATATTTTAAAATGGTTTATTATGAGATATTTTACTAGTGTACATAATGTGCCATAGAATTTAGTTATTAAATACAACTATATTTTCATGGGCACAGTTGAGTAATGGATAGCTGCTTGGACTGAAGAATCAGGGAGCTGAGTTCAAGTTTCAGTCAAATCCATTACATTCACTTAATACCCTTGGGAAAGGTATGAATCCTCTTCTTCTCTCCACAGCTATGGTAAAAGCAGGACAGGACCAGGTTCTATAATCTTGGATGGCAACTGATCTATGGCAGAAAGAAATGGCAACCTACTGCGGGAAAAAATCTGCCTTCATCAGTCATGTATCAAAAGATACATGATCGCCTAAGTGTGTATCTTGCATGGCACATAACTGATATTTTTTTATTAATTAATATAATTAATATAAATTAATTAATATAGTAATAGACTCAACATTGTGAAAAGGGGTGATCTTCAACTATCATTGATATCGATGGCGCCGGATATTAAAAAAAAATCTCACAGAGCAGCATCAACCACAGAGATCTCATTGAAAAAAACTTTAATTTTTTTAATTCATTAATTACTCGCATATTTTAAAATGGTTTATTATGAGTTATTTTATGCGTGTACATAAATATTCCATAGAATTTAGTTGTTAGATACAAGTTTATTTTCATTAAATTAGTTTTACTTGAAAATAAAACATACGTCTACTATTTCCATAATACAATTCCTAAAGTTTTTTTATTAGTAAAAAAAATAAAAAAATAAAAGAAGCTTTTTTTTCTTTCGTCGAATGGTTAGGCGGGAGTCTCCCCCCGCCCCGTAAAATGAGAAGTAAAAGTGGTCCAGGGGTAAAAAAAAAAGCTTTTTAAGTGGCAAACGTTCTGTTAATTGAATCCTGGCACATTTTCGAACGTTCTTATTTCATGTGCTGTGTGTTCCTTCACGATGTTTGGCGATTATGGCTTTACAACAAATATATATATATATATATATATATATATATATATATATATATATATATATATAGATAGATAGATAGATAGATAAATAGATAAATATATATATATATATATACATATTACCAGTTTGTGACTGGTAGGGATAATTCTAACGAGGATATTAATCCAAGGAGAGCTCAATGTACACTACAGATAATAATAATAATAATAATAATAATAATATCGAAGAAAACTCTAAATATTCATTTCGATTATAATTTATTTTGCGAATATTGAAATATTCATTTCTTCAGATCGATTTACTAAGGAAATTTCGATCTGAAGAGATGAATA